TTAAAAATACCTTCTTCGGTGTCTAACTTTTTGCAGGGTTTTTTTGAAGTTTAGCTTTGGCTGAACTTCCAACAGAAAGAAGAATGAAAACATCTTAGATGTTACGCATATGGTAACCTAACCCTAATAAGTTAAGTATGGTTGCTAAATCCCTCTGAAAGAGCTAAAGCTAACTTTGCAATTAGGGAAATTGTTCTCTCAGGTCTTATAAGAGGAGGCAAAATGGACTGAATGTAAAGTTGCTGAAATATCTCCAAGTGATGATTTTGTTGGGTAGGGTAAACTGCGCCAGCAAAATGTTTTTCTAGAGATTACTTTGTTTAAAAATTAAATATATCTGCAGGCTTTATGTATTAGGACTTGTGAAAGAGGTAAAGTGACCAATGTTTCCCTCTTCTGAGGAACAGTTACCAAAATATTTAAAGACAAATGGGAAACATGCATTTCAAAGTGAAATACTATTGTTTTTAAAAGAGGAGGCTGAATACATTATTTACAAAAGAACACCCTGGCCAGAGACAAGGAATCTTTAAAAACGCATTACTGGGTATTCTAGGGAGGAGGTAGGTACCAGTGTCATCTTAGTGAGAGGAAACAAATCTTCTACTCAAGAGGTCAAAACGGCAGACAAGTACTGACACTTACCATGTTGGTCTTGGCCTGTTCAAGTAGTCTTGTATTGTTGGTCCCGAATTTTGGGCAGGACCTCGTGCTCTGGCCATAGCTATGGGATTCATATAAGCCTTGAATATGAAACAACAAAAAGAAATACCAAATTCATCAGCTGCATTGTGATAGCAAAATCTGTCCTTTTTGTTTTTCACAGAAACTTGTCTCACTCATTGAAAAATAATCATGACTTGTTTCTAAAAATATAAAATATTTAACTAAATGAAGCTGATTCAGTCTGGCAGAAAGACTCAGGTAGGTGCTTTCAATTTGAGTTACACTGTGACAGAAAGAACTCATCCAAAAAGAGGCCATGTTCCGTACAATAATTCCCCTCCATAAGCAAGGATTTTGCAAACTGTGTACAGTATCATGATTACTGAAAAATTCTTCACTGGGATATAGAAATATAGAAAATGTATTTAAATTTCAGCTCTTATTCTCTGGGACAACTGATCTTATGCCTTTAAAGTTCTGCTCAAAATTGATGATAGCGGATGCAACAAATTCTCCATCAAGTTTCTTGCTGTAACACCAAAACAAGCAAACGGTGGTGCTTTCCTACAATTATGCATGTATGAAAATTCTGTAACTTAAGGCTATTTTAAGGAAGAAAAAAAAACAAACAACAAAACTCCAACAAAACAATGTTATGAGGTATTCCATCTTTCAAATCCCTGTATCCTCTTCATATTCACTCTAAAAATGTAATAGGTTATAAAAGATTAATTTAAAAGTCAGAATCTATAATCCACCTCAGCAATCAATGGAAAAACTCTAGCAAACAATTCTTCAATTTTTTTTTTCATGCCAATAATATTTTGCTCATGCAAAAGGGAGGTAGTCCATATACCCTCGATCTCTTGGACTTTTATCACTACCTGATCCCAACACCTCACAACTTACATTTGCAAAACACAGCACACACTGTTCTTACTGTCCACAGTTTGGAGATGAGGAAAAAAACCAAATAGTCAAAACAATGACTAGCTTTGGTTGCCCAATCTGAGATAATTTTTTTTAAGGGTTCAACATTTTATACATTCAAAGTAAAGATCTGACCATACGTGTAGCTCGTACGTGTCCGACATTGGTTTTTATCAGGCCCTAATGTGAACATTCAGAAACCACCATGCAGAGTAAGAGACTGCCTGTGAAAGCTGTCAAAAGCAGCAGCTGCTGCCTCCCCTCCTGTCCCCCCCTCCACAGAAGCAGTGGCCACAGCAACACTGAGTTTCTGGACTGGACTGCGAGTAGACTGGTGGCTCTTGGGGCTACATTTAGTCCTGGAAGAGGGACTCTGGGCCCTGCCTGGGATGGGGCAGCGTGCCGGAGGGAAGCACTCCCCACACTGAGTTTGGCTTATGGTCCATGAGCTGGACCACACCAAAGCAATTCGAGAACTCTTTCAAGTTGACTGTTTTTTGACTCAAATTGTAGGCTAACTAAGGGTGACATTTGCTGGTATTTCTTGGGGCTTTGCTTTGTTGCTTCAATCCATATAAAAAGGCTGACTAACATGGGCAAGTAAACGCTGAGATATGCCAATTTAAACTAGTTTAATCTCAGCTTGGCACCTTCTTTTGGTAGCCAGGCGGATGTATGCACTCAAGTAGTTACAGTACTTGAAGATACATATTCACATTATTAACTCTAGCATTTTGTTATATTACAAATCTACAAAAGACTACAAATTTTGCATGTGAATTCAGCTTCAAGTGGAAAAGGAGTTCCCTCAGCAATGCAGTAAAGCAGTAGCTGAACACTGTTTTCAGTAAAGATAATTTCAGTGTACTAGATCCACTAGAGAAGACAATAGAAATGTAATTCACAACTTGGTTTACTCTCGTGAGCAAAGTGAGCTCAACTTTTTGGTTACCATTCAAGAATTTGTATTTGAAAGCCCTAGCTTCTTACATAATTATTATTCCTGAAAACGAGGTCTATTGCTTAAATAAAAGTTAGCTACTTTCTTATCTAAGCTAACCTGAAACAAACACTCTACCGCCTCCCAAAAGAACTCTCTCTCTACCTGCAGAAGAGGCTACAACTGCCAAATGTTGTCTTTCTACTTCCTCAAACTAACCCCAGATAACTAGCTTGGAAGCTTCCTCCATTCAGTGACTTTCTTTAACTTTCAGGTAGCAAGCACATAATGACTGAAAACTGCTCTATATTTCACAGCTAGGAAATTTAGGTCTTAAACCATGTTCTTATCATTTCAAACAGGTTTATTTATGAAGAATTACTTCAACTAACATTTCTTAGAAGTATTTACACTACTTTGCCAAACTGCATGTCACTAGCCAGAGAGAGCACAGAAAGCATCCTCAACAGAGAAAGTGCTTGTCTGCACATTCATTTTTTTCTTTTGGCAGTTTGCTCAAGCAGTTATTAAAAACTATTTGTTGTATAGCTTTCATAAGGCACCTTCAGTCAGCTAGGGTTATCTGAGCAAGCAATACAAACTGTTACTGCCTTGCAAGTATCTTGCAGATGTGAAAAATAGTATTTATTTTCCATCTCCAAACGGTCAAAACAATGGTGTGTTTAAGAAGGGACATGGGAAAGAAATAACAGGTAGAAAGCTCTACGATCATAAAAGAGAGGCAAAGGGTCCTATAATATAACTTGTCTGTACTAGCAGCCACCATATTCCATGGTATAAGGAATCTTATATAGGAATATAAAGATTTGCTGGCATTGGTAGGTGCATCCCAACTGTCCTATGAAAAGAAAATTAAGAATAAATGAACAGACACCTAAATACACCCAAAAAACATTACAAGAGGGCAACGCATCTCACGGACAGGCCAGGTTTTCCAGTCTAACACTGTCAACTTTATTTTCCACTATTTCAATGTCTCAATAAAGTAATAAAAGGCACTTAGCTACTCATTTGTATAACGTATATGCCCATCATGTCTATTACATATTATTCCACTAAGGTAAGCAAAGGCATTTCCCTGAATGGATCAGAGAACTGCTGTGTATGTGCTAATATGTATTTCTAGTATGTGCTATGAGTTCACAACACATACTAGGAAGAGACAAAGGGAGGAAAAAATAAAAGTCTTGCGACTTGCTTTTAACCATAAAACTCGTTAACTGTAAATTCACAATGCCTAAATGAAACATGAGCGTAAGGTGAACCGGTACAAAAAAGTCTGAAGAAAAATACGAGGAGGGATGAATGTAGTAACGGGGTACAAAATTAGGCTCTGCAATCCGGTGTGCAGAAGCGCATTTTTGGCCTTCTGGCCGCTGGCTCCCGAGGCTGGCAGAGCACTGCGTGGAGCTAAATTTCAAACCGCTCAGGTACAGCTAACGCCAAGTTTAAGAGAATACGGTTTAGCGGCGATCACAGCTACTTCAGCGAATGCTGCAACTCCCACTGGGAACATTTCATTCCGGTACGGACCGGGCCAGCATCTTAATCATCTTCGCGTCGCAGATGGCAAAGCAGGCATCAGTCACCACT